TAGGTGATTATTAATGATTACAGACGGGATACCGAAGCAATATATATATATATATATATATATATATATATATATAGAATTATGATGACGATAGCAAAGTGGTAAAGATGACATTACACGGTGATAAAGACGGTAATGGTGATGGTGATAAGTGATAATAATGGTGATGACTACGACATGATGATGGTGATAGTAGGAAGGTGATGATGCGGCGATGAGAACACTGAGGATGAAACTTCATTTGCATGTCTGTCTCGTGGCACCTGACATGAAACTTTTACATTTTTAAACGCCGCATTGCATGCTTCCACAAAATTTTCCACGCTGATGACAAAGCTGTGTAACTTTTTAACAGAACAGAAACCATAAAACCAGATGTAATACGGAATACCATGTGGAAATAAAAATACAGACCCAAACACGCTACCAGTCAGATTGAAGGAATCCTTATTGAATTAACGTTTCCATCTGCATTTTTTACAATATTTCGTATAGTTTCCACCACTATGTTATCATGTCTTGCATCACGAACACATGAAAAAAAACCTACATACACTAAAAATACCTCTTATACAAAATGTTATGTACATCCATTCTATAATTCATATAATTCATAACCACGCACAAATACACACGCACACACACAAATATATATATATATATATATTATATATATATATCAGACGTTGTATATATATATATATATATATATATATATATATATATCTTACTTTGTGTATATGAAAACACATACAATCGTTACACATCCATGCACAAAACCGTGTGTACAGTTTCTTGTTATTTTCCACATACAATAAGCAATGTTTTTTTCGTTATTTCAGTGTTTCTCTTTAAATATTTTCATTTTCAGATGTTTTTTCCAAAAATTTTCATTGAAATTGCTCGTCTGCTTATTTTCTAATTGAAAATTCAAAATTTTTCACGAATCATCGTGAGTTCTTTTACTTTTTAATAACATTAGCGTGTGTGTGTGCGTGTGTGTGTGTGCGTGTGTGTGTGTTGATTGGAAGGCGTGAAGGAGTGCATTGAAATAAATGAAGTAACATAATGTTGTAAATAAATGTCTTTTATTCTTACGATTTTATTCAGTTTATAAAATTAAGATGTTTAAAGTTGCTTATTAAAAAAAAAAACCTTAATTAATGTTATTTATACATATACGAACAATTACATTATAAACTAACCGAATTAAAGTTTTATTATAACCCATTGGCTCTGTTGTTGTCGTTATGGTCGTTGTAATGTTATGTAATTTAACCACTCAATTTGAAACGCGGAACAATTGTTTGTTCATGTCACTGTCTACACTGTTTACGATGATATTTTTAATCAGTTTCGCTTGCATGGTGTTCGCGAACTCACCCAAACACATGGAGGCGTAATATCAATTTGTAAACTAAACCAATATATATTCATATCATTGACGCTAATATTCATCCTTCATATAACATTGTTTTCAAGGTTGATACCTTTCATTAATTAATTAATTAATTAATTAATTAATCTAACAATTATCTAATTAATAATAATTAAAATGAGCGTATTTAAACTCAAATTTTCAATCAATTCTGTCAATGTCATCATCTTCAAGTGAAATTAAATAACATATATAATAATAATAATATACATGTATATCTATCTATCACTATATACATCTATGTACAAGGAAATCTGTGTTTATCATGTTTTATTTTGTTCATTCATGTTTCATCATTAATCTTACAACGTTTCTTGTGGGATATGACATTTTTAACAGCATCCTATATATATATATATATATATATAAATATGTATATATGTATATATATATATATATAATTATATATATACTCACTATATATGTATACGAATTTTCTACTTTGAACTTTATATGTTTGTGCCTTGAGGAGGTTTTGAACCAGGGTACGCTGCATTGACATACTTTGCTGGTTGTTGAAAATAGCAAGTGCGATGATGGTAGGCTGGAGATATCTGGTTCGAATCTCATCAAGAGTTTATAGTTTACACATGTGATCAGTTGTAGACACATGTGACACCTCTGATCAGTTTTGCACATATGTGAACATTTATTTGTACATAAGAACTCAGTTACAGGTGCGTATTAAATATGCATTCAATTGATAAACATATGAACGCATCATTATTTAAACGTCAAAAATCATCATTTTGTATTAATCACATTTCTAAATGAAATGTACTTTCATACATTGATCAAAAAGTTTTAAAAATGGAAACTGCAATTATATACAAATATTTATTCAAATTAATTATTTATTTTATGAACTATATGATAACACAAAAACACACTCACACACGCACAGACACACACACACCCACTTATACAGACACAATCACACACACACGCACACATTACAAACATTCATATCAATATTCAATCCAACCCAGACACATATTCACACACAAATCATCATTTTTCTACACGCTATTTCCATCGTTTGATGTGCTGGTGTGATGATTTACATGTCTTGATATTGTATAAGATTTTATCGGTTCAACCTTCAGTATAAATGTTTCTGCTAGTGTGAAAAAATACATAAATACCCATTGGACATTTCTTGTATTCATGTGTACCTTTCAACATGTTTGTATCGTTATAAACCTTTGTATTGGTGAAATTATTAATACAGTTGTACGATGTTGTATAATTAAAATGTACTGAAATACATTTGTTCATCTTTTGAGTTTTCGTTTGTATTGTAAATAATGGATGTACATAATAATAAAGTTGTGTATATGCTTTCAAATACTTTTTTGAAGTGATGTTTTTCACTCAAACATATTCACCATTTTTTATTTCATAATTTTTTAAATTTCCCAACCTATTTAATGTATAGGAGCTGTCTTGAACCTGAAAAGTTCATGAGTTTCGTTAAAATGTGTGATAGGCGATATAATCGCCACCTTGCTGTTCGCTTTTCAATTCATTTTTTTTTATTTTTTGTGTTTTTTTTTTGATTTTTCAAAGTAATACACACAGTTTGAATTCACATGCATATTCTACGCGTTATCATGTTACGTGAGGATGACACATTATTTGAAATTTTTTTGCTTGATTTTCTATTTATTTTTATTCCCGAATATCAATTATTTTATGCGGTAATATATGTCTGTATATTTGGTATTTTTGTTGTTCATTGGTGTTTATTCTTTCGTGTTTTTCTAATTTTTAAAATGATCATGATACATTTGTATGAAATGTTGTGTTGTTATAAAGTAATAAAATTGTTATGAATTTTTCAAATTCAAATTTTCCTTGCTAATAAAAACCAAAACCAATTTTTTCAACCTGTCAAAAATTTTCCATCTTTCGATTATTACACAATAACACTTTATTTTTGACTTTGATGTGGCATTAATTAAAAATAAACAGCTTATGGAATAACATAAATTATACAACAAATTAATATATATTATAAATGAACGTTAATTGCGAGAGGAATGACTTCTTTTACAATAATCGTTGTCGTCATCCTCCTCTTAACGCTGTTGATGCTGTTGTTGTTGTTGTCTTGATTATTATTCAACTTTTCAAAACTTCTTCATTATGTTCAAATTTTTTGTATTTAAAAAAATAATTAAAAAAATGCTGTGTTCTATTTTTTGCCATTACTTCCATTATAAGTTTTTCATAGAGCAAGAGTTTTTTTACTTAAAATATTTTTAAATAATTTACAAATACCTACAAAATTTAATTTTTCCGAATAATTACGATTCTCATCATTTGACCTAAAACAGAAATATTAATCGTATAATTGTTAATTCCTGTGACAACTTTTATTTATTTTACACGTTTGGCGATTTATTGCTATGCCAACGATTCATTTTTTTAAAATTTCACAACAAAAATTTGAGACACGACAATTGGAATGAGTTATTTTTAATATGAGTATTCGCAGTTGTTTTTTAGAAAAAAAAATAAATTTTTCTTATTTTTCGACTGCTAAATTACATCAAAAAAATCTCAAAAAGTTGTTAGCAAAACATCATAAAATCCCCCAATCAATATTCCAACCATAATCCCGACAAAATATCCCAACTGAATATCCTAAAAAATGTTTAAGAATAATACCGTTTGCCTACCGGATAGCGTTCGAAATAAACTTTTATTAATCGCTAGTGTACTTCTAAATTTTCGGTTTGGTAAACTTTGTTGAGATAATTAATATTCGCATTATAAATCAGAGGTTATAGTTTTAATAAAATTAATATTAAAAACAGAAATTTTATATGAAAAGCTGAAAAACATTACAGGAGGATCGTATCGATGATAAAATTAATAATGATTTCTGTCACTTGACTCATCGACTGCAGCAATTTTCATAAAGTTTCACACATAACAAAGTTTTTATCCTTATATTTAAAATAAATTTCAAAAAGTTAATTTTTGTTTTTGAATTTCGGCCAGATATAATTTTTTTTATTCACTCAACATATTTAAGTGGCATAAATTGCGCTAAATAATCTTCAGAATTGATTTTAAAACAGCGCCATACAAGCCATCCGCACATGACTATCATGTTTTTATTTGAAGCATTTACTCGTTCCAACTCTTGATGTGCCTTTGATGACTGACTGAAACAACCGAATATCTTCTGAAATGAACACACATTTACATCATCCAGTGAACAACATCGCACTTTTTAAACTGTCATGCCATGTTCCTCCACCAATCTGTAAAAAATGTGGTGTACAATACATACATATATTTAAATTTTTCTGTTTTTTGAGTGTTACAGTAAACAATTTTGAGAATTATTGCAACGCGGTAAGTTTCGCTTCGTTTTCAACATTTTTTTTTGCTTTGCAAGCTGGGTACCTCAACGGAAAAATAAAAATTAGCGTCACTTTCACTTTGCAGACAATATTTACATATACAAAAACGTGTATATGAACGTGATTACACGATTGAATCGTTGCACAATTGTGAAGTTGCATGCAAATAAACACTGCTAAGCATCATGACTGAAGGTCTTTATGTTGTACAAATTCCAATTAAAGCATGGAACGTAGGAAAGTGAATGTGCCTGTATAACTATACGCATGGTCTTCTTTTATTATCTGCTCCATTCTACGTACACACACATCCATGTACATAACTGCCTTCCTTCCAATGCATCTACTCTTTATGTCTATATGTATGCGTACAACATTAAATATGCAGTCCTTTAGATGCGTGTGTGCTATTGTACTTCCATGTGAGCATTTAAAAATGAATTTATAAATCTAGCATTAAACCTTATACTAAACTGATAAAAAAAAGAAAAACATAATTAAATTAATTAGTTTATAAACGAGTGAATGATAAATGTTTAGTGCACATCATACAGGCACATTTGTGCATATTTGAGTTATATGCCATACGCATGTTCAGATATTGAATGCACATCATTGCACGCGTATGCGCTGCGCAATATACATTCTTGCTGAAGCATTTGGATAACCAACGTACGAAGGAGCGGAGGAAAGTATATTTTCCAGTTTTGTGCTGATGTTGTTGTTGTTGCTCATCTTCTACGAATTATGGTAAGATGTTGTTGCTGATGTAGTTTGTAATGTCGTCAGTGTTGTGAATGTTGTTGTTGATGCTTTTTATTACTATGTCGTTATCGTTGTTTAGGTTTGAGTTTAATTGGTTCATTAGTTTGTTGTTCCCATTGTTCTGTGGCGCTGGTGTTATTTTATGTTTGTGAAAGTTAAAAATACTAAAAGTTTCTAGGAATATTAGACTTTTTAATTTCATATAAAGCAATTTAGACAAATATTACAATTTATAATGTTAAATTTAGTTACTCATTTTTGTTTTTCGTATCTTAATTGTTAATTATTTATCTAGCTCTGTCATTAAATCATTGATTGGTGTGTCTTTTGAAAATACTGTTGCATGCGAAGGTGTAGTTACACAACAAATTTTAAAATTTCGTTTTCACAATGAATTGACAATTTTTATAATTAACAATTATATAATTTGTAAATCTGCAGGAAAAACACTGAAGTGTCCAACACAACATTGCAGTTCATTCATTCAGATGCTTGTTATGACAAGTGAGTAAACCAAAGAATCCAGTTACAAACTATCATCATCGTCATCGTCACCATCTCATCAAAGATCCATATTCGCGCAATATTCTCCGAACACCCAACAACATCATTAGCTGTTTGAAATAAAGAAAAATGAACAGCAACAACAATAACACTGGCAGCTGCAGCAACAACAACAATAACAACGAGCTGGCAACTAACAACAACAATAACGCACAACAACAACAAAATACGACCAACCAATCAGAACACAAACGGTAACGGGTTTAATTTCAATTTAGAAAAATGTTTCATTTTTTTCAATTAATGAAAAATAGTTTAATTTATGAAGTAAAAATGTAAATCAAATAGTGTGTAATGGAAAAATTTAAATTCTGGTTTGTGTTTGAATAAGATGATCGGGAAAGTAATAACATTTTCAGTGGTTTTTTCACGTGCATAAATGATCTTCATTATTTTATAGTCTATTGTGAACAACACACCAACAAAAATCATCAATACTCCCAACCTCATCCCAATAATCACCAGCATCGTCATCAGCATCACAATCAACATTATCACAACCACTACCAACACCATCTTGCTGCCATTCAGTAGTCCATCAAAGGACAGCATCAACCCTGTAACCTGTCCATTCCCTCACACCGTCAAAGAAGCAGTGGCCATCGCAGCTGGAAAGAAGGAAAATGGTGGTGACGATGACGACGGCAAGACGATTCGATCGAACATGCTTTGCTACTTGTATTGGCTGCTGGTTGTTCTCATTCTCGGCTTGATATCATTCACCGTGTGGTTGAGCATTCAGCTGGCTAGGAGGCACAGCGAGATCAATGGTTGGTTTGTGCTGGGGGGCGGTTTGTCGAGGTGAGAATGTGGTGTGTTTGTGGTGTATTTGTGGTGAGTTTGCCGAATGTTTTTAACTGCTGTGTAATCAGTTTGGTTGATCTTGGTGACCATGGTTTCGGCATTGTAATTGTTAAGTTAAAAATATAAGATGGTTATGACGCAAGTAAACAATGGCCTCTTAGTGTTTGCCAACGGAAAATATTATCATTGAAGGGCAAACATTTTTTATTACATGTAAGCACAAGCGTAGGATGTTACTGAAATGAACTTCACATTAATTGTGACATATAATTGCAAATATTTTTTCATATGAACCTAACTAATAATTTTTATTAAAAATATTTGTACGTTATGTTATCATTTTCTTTATACATAGTGAGTAAACTTTTTCAGCGTGTGAACATTTCATCTTGTTCTTGAACCTGCAACTGGTCAGGTGCCAGTGATTAATGCAAATTATATCGATAAATTTTATCACGCAATATTTTTGTATCAAATTCATTTTTACATCTAAAAAATTTGTGTATTTTTTTTCATATTGATATTTTTCTTTATGATTCGTCCGCGCTATTTGTTCGTCGTTTTTGTTTTTTTTTAAACTTGAAGTTTTAAAAAATTATTATTTAGAACAATTATGTAGACAATTAAAAATGTTTTTGTAATTATAAGTGCACTTGGGAGTATAAATTTTTTAATTATAGGCTAGGAATAACAACCTGCATTTACTATTTGTAAATGCAAAGTTATGAATAAAATGGTAGAAATAACGAACAAAACAGAAACGACAGAAACTGCTGATGTTATATTTTTCAAAAGTTCACTAAGGACGACAGTTTTTAAAAAGTTACATAATAGAATGGCGATCCACCCCTAGAAACAAAATGTTTTACCTGATTGATTCGATCTTTCAAACAAAACATTCCACTAAACATCATTCCATATATGCGTTTTTATTCTCCATTACTATTTTTGCAACGACTGCTGTCTGTGATGTTGTTGTTTAGATCAGGGGTGTGCAAACTTTTTGCTGTGAGGGCCGCATTGACAACTATTTTTCCTTTGAAAGGCCGCATATGTACTTAAATAGCGAATTTTTTCGACCCGGAGGAAGTTTTTTAAGATTTGTGGCTCTTTTTTTGGTCATAATGTCTGGCTGACGACCTTTTTCGGCGAACAAGGCCTCGCGGGCCGCATAAAATAACTTTGCGCGCCGCATGCGGCCAGCGGGCCTTATTTAGCCCAACCCTGGCTTAGATAAATCTAATTAAATATACTAAATAGTATACTAAATAAAATATTCCATGTTTGATTTTAAATTTTTCAGAGCACAGAAAAACTTTTGAATTCGAAGACATTTTTAATACAACATTCCATCCAAAGACTTTTCACGTTACTTGGGTCAGAGGCTAGTGAAGCGTTTTCTAAAATTACAAATACAAAATTTTGCTTAAATTAATCAAAAACTTCGATCATTAGGTTATTGAAAAACCACTGTTATTAGTGAAGCATTTTTTGACCGATTATATAATAGAAGGATTCATAAAAACACTTAGCAAAAAATTATTCATTATGTGCATGATTTGTTATTTATAGGTAAAATTTTAAAATTTTAAATAATTTTATAACTGAATAAAATGTATCTGTAGCTTAACTTCTTTGAAACATTTAACAAACTTAATGCATCTAAGTGAAGCAATGACCAAATATATAAACTATAGAAAAAAAAAATGTGTAGATGAATTATTCAATGAATGAATTATTGAATATGAATTAATGAATGAATGAACAAAAAATCAGAGGACGCTTATGTTTATCGATCAAAAACTGGTTGTCTTCACATGTTCAACGTCACGAAAAATGCCAGCGAGAAAATCTTGGATAGCTCGATATTTGTTCGTATTGATTGATTCTCTTGCTAACGTTTCTCTTGTATTATCATTATCGATGTTTTTTCAGCAGGTCATTTTTAAATTATTTTTTGGTTTTCCTAAGATTCATTTTTTAATATTTTTAGCAAAGCTGCTAGTGTGAATTAAGTTGTTGTTTTTGATAGGTTGTTATTCATGCAAACAATATTTGTAATGGAAATATTGGTTATGCTACATTTTTTATGGCGCATTAAATATGGCCAGAGTAAATGATTAGTGGTATTGTTTCATCCATGTGTTTTTTATTTGGGTATCTCTAATTTTGAGTCAATTATGAAATTATAAAAATGTTAAAAAGTTGGTTTTGTTTGTTAGGGTCGGTTTGTGGGATGGTGCAGCAGCTGACTTATCGGCGCCGTAATATAATTTCTTGCTTCTCTTATGGATTTATTGATCGATGTTTTCATTGCTTTCTTCACTTTCCTCTTTCTAGGAATGTTTGGATATTTTTAGCATGTGCAAATAAATGCGTGTACAGATATATATATTATAACTACATATGTATTTATGTATCATGTATAATTGGTGGTTAGATTTTTCCTGATTGTATTTTTCAACCAGATCGATTTACGCTGTAACAAGCAATAAACTTTTTATAATTTGTGAATTTTAGTTAAACTGCAAAACCTGAAGAAAGATGGGCACATTTCTACAAATTTACATATAAATATAACTAATCGAACTCAATTTTTAAAAATAATTTTCAAGCTAAAACAAAACATTAAAAAAAAACTCCAATTCACGCGAACAGGAAAAATACAAGAGCAGTCAGTACATGCTGAGCGGAGATTTGAAATACGTGGTACTTCAGTACGACAACATAAAGGTAGGCAATAGACTGTAGCAGTAGACAGTGGGCAATAGACAGTATCAATAGACTCTATCTAAGCAATAGACAGTTGGCATTAGACGTAGACAGTAGACAGTAGAAACCAAGTGCGTCACCACATTCCATTAGATAGTTAATGCACTTCTTTATTGTTTGCACTGCATTCACTAATGGGTTGACAACGTTTATTTTGTATTACAACGCATTCTATTTTGAAAGGGCGTCGTTCGATTTTGTCATTGTTATCACAAACCGATTGGATAATATGCTGTATGCAATCCTTTTGATTTGTATGTGTTATATTGATCGTCATGATTAGTTTTGTTTTCACTGACATCGTCAACATTGTTGTTGTCACTATCGACATAATCACTGTTCTCATATTCAAACTATAATAACAAAAATTGATGATGATAGGATTAGTTTAATTTTATAAATTTAATTTGTTACCAGCTGTAGGTATCATACAGTCAGTTTTATTTCAGTGTTTTGGCTTTTTTGCCATCCTACTTTTCCTCACTCAATTACAGGTGTGGAGACATTCACAACTTTCAAAATATGTCATATATGACAGACACGTAAAACCTGGAACACCGTAAATGATTTTTTAATGTTTTTTTTACTTTGAACTTTCCAAAACTTTAATTATTTGTTACTTTACCTATTAAAATATCGTTTATAATTATAATTTTCATTGTCAGCAACTCCACCTTCAAAACTTTCCACTCATCTTTTTTTAACGTTCTTAGAGTTAACGTCATAAATATTTTCATTAATCAACCTTATCCTTACATTAACTACTGACCACCGCGGACAGACGCACGCTACACTTCGGCGAGGACAAGCAGCCAGGCCACGACGACATCGTCAACAAACATCTTCAAGCTGTTGTCATGGCTCCTACGTCTTCCGCTGCGGTTTGTTTGGTCTTCTATTGCTCTACTGTTAATTACACCGCGTGCAAACGGCGTATATGAGAACATGCTAAACGACTCATCACACCCGAAGCCTGGGATAGGTCGAAAACTTTTTGTCATATTCGAACCAGGTTACTGCCCGACTGCGAAACAGAACCAGGAATTCTTAATCACTAGACCATCACAGCGCACATAACTACTAATTACTCTATCAAGTAACTAAATTGTTCGTTTATAGTTATATACAAACTTTATATATCTTAATAACGGATATCATAATATTGAATAAAAATGAAACCTGTGCGTGGTTTTTAATTGTATTGATGACAATGCTGCTAATAACATTGGCAAATTTATTCGTAATAAGACGGAAAACATAGTAATAATAATTTATTCGTTTTTGGTATTTAATTTAATCCCATGTATAAAAAATTATTATTGTTCACATTACAGGCGTTTGTTTACAAGAACAATCTTTTCATCCAAGCCTCACCTGCGCCGAGAAACCCGGCCAGACAACTGACCTTCAGTGGCTCCGATGGTCAAGTGTACAATGGCGTCAATGACTGGACATATGAAAGTGAGACTCAAATCAATCAGATTTTTTTAATTTCGATTTTTTTTTATTCGCGGAAATATATATTCGCGGCCAGTAGAGAAATTTCTTTTGAATTGCATAGAGCAATTTTTCTCTACTGCTGTATTAATTGATGGAGGTGTTTTGTCATACGTTGAAGTTCAATTTAATATAAAGAACTTGTAAAAAAGATTATTGACGAAATTAACTATATTATAACAACATTTTTATATTACTTTTTCAAAGTGTGACCGTCTATTTTAGATATCTTGATTCTTGGTTATATGTAACTATTTGCGAGTGTGCAATTTGTTGAATAAACTACGCTTACAATCATCATCGTCGTCATCATAATTGTTATAATCATCATTACCCCACAACAACACAGACATGCTGAAACGATCGTCATCAATTTGGTGGTCACCTGATTCCAAATACTTCTGCTACCTCAGCATCAACGACAGCAACGTCACCAACTTTAAATTCATTCTTCGTAAGGAGGGGGCAGAGGCTGACGTCATCAGCATTCCTCACCCCAGGGTTCGTTTTGTTTCAGAATTTTTTTTTTTCAAATATTATATTTATAATTTTTTGGCAATTTTTTGGCAAATAAAGTCTAGAAATAATTGTTTGCGTATATCTTATCTTTAAGTGATGTTTCAAGATTAGTTGTTTTGGAATTCAGGTGATTCCCTATGGCAACATACCTGAAGTAACGGTGAGACTGGTGGACACGGAGAAGTTGAAGGACGAGCAACATCAGACAGTTCTTCGGGCCCCTCAGGAGTTCAGGAACATGTTTGCAATTTGTGACTTTTTAAATTTATTATTCCGTGAAACTTTTTCAGTCAGATGATTTTTAATTACAGCACTGTATTCAAAAATTAAAAATACTACTCATTCATTTTGACATTGACCTTATATGCTTTACATTTTTTTATCCACAACAATTTCAGTCAATGCTTAAAAACCTCAATAATCTACAAACATTCGGAAACCAGAGATCACTACGTGGTGAATGTTGTCTGGAAGGACTCGACACACGTCGCCGTTGTCTGGCACACTCGTCCACACAACCAATCCATCACCACACTTTACGACGTCGTCAATGAAGCTACTTCAAATGTATGTGTTTCTATTTGTTATATGATGTATAAAACATCTGAGTTAAGATATTTTAAAATTTTTTATTGGTTGGTAAGTTAGTTAACTCAGGGGTGTGTGTACGTTTTGGTGTAGATAGTGCATTCTACGTGGTCCGAATGTTAAACTGCGTTCATGTAAGACAAATCGATTTATAAGTTTGCACATGAATTATTTTTTAATTATTTAAAAGAAGTTTAATTAAAGCCTTTTTTAGTCATTTATCATATGTTTATTCCAAAATAGCTTCACTATCAGATTTCTGCAACTGGATGGATTGAGGTAACAAAGAAATATTTGAAAATTTCAAGTTAAACTTTTTATGATTATAAAATAAAACTAACAATTTTTCAATAGTTCAATTATTAACTGTTATAAAAGTTTTTTGTGAAAAATGTAATAATTAAAGCAAATTTTGAAATTGAACTAACTAACAAAGTCTGGACACCCAATAACGTTCTTGAAGTCCTCAACAAGTTACCTGACAATCTTTCCAAAACTAGAAAGTGATGAAACACTCTGGAATCATTTGGCACTCATAGAACAACAAGTTCCTCTTTTTTTAATAGTTACAATTGTTTTATTTGAAACAATTCAATTAAAATGTTTGTATTTATTTTAAAAAGCCCTTTATAATTTTTTAGCTAATTCTATTTTTAACAGTTGTTTAATAGAACAAATAACTAAAATTTCAAACTTGTGATCAATCACTAAAAGTTTTACCAACGTTGTAAAAACTATTAGGAACTCATGCACCACAGCGCTACCGTTACCACTCCTACAAAAACGCTGACTAATTTTTGTGATTAAAAACAAATACACGCATGAAAATGTTAATTACAACAAATTCGAAATCAACACTTATGAAATTGGCAACAAAACCGTGTTCGTAAAAATATTTGGTAGGACATGCAAGACAGCAAGGTGACCTACCTGACAGCAGGCCATCAAGATGTGCGAGATATCGTGGGATTTGATGCAGATGCCTTTGAAGTGTACGCCGAGAGATTTGTACTTTTGAGAGATTTGTACTTTTGAGACGTTCATTCTGCCAAAAAATCTTTTAGAAACTTTTAACGATAATCCATATAATTTTGTTTTTTAAAATGCATGTGTTTCATATCGTTTATGTTTATTATGAACAGTTAAACATTTTGAATATAACGTTTAAGATAGCCTATGATTACTTCAATAAAATGTATATTTATGAAGGTTTTTCACGTCAACGAATGGCAACCAGACAAGAAAACACTTATTCAGGTTCATTTTATTTTTAATAAATTTTATTGTTTCCCATACAACTAGAATAAAAAAATATATATTGAACACTTTTCAATATTTTCGGCAGATGCAACGTCGTAAGCAGATCAACATCGTGCATGACCTGCAATGAAACATCGGACTGCCAATACGTCGCCGCCACTTTCGGACCGAAGGCCAGGCACTACATACTGGGATGTCTTGGGCCGAGAATACCTACCTACGAACTGAAGACTGTCGATTCTGAAAGAAGTACACGATTGATTGAATACGATTGATTTCAATGTGCCAACTAAATTAAAAATAAGTATTTGCTTACGATAGGAAGTTTTTTATTTCATAAAAGTATTATGAACAGGTTTAATGTTGGAGGATAACAAAAAACTCGCCGAAGCACTGACAGCAAAAATTTTACCTGATAGGAAACACATCACGGTAGCTGTCGGAAACGGACAAAGTTAATAAATTTGTTTTGTAAATAATTTTTTTAATAAGTTGTAAGTTAATTTTAGAAATTTAAACATCCAACCAAGCAAATTGTAAAGAATGACAGGTCTTCTTCTTTCTCGTGTCTTATTTTTTCGGGACATTGGCGACCATCGACCTCCACGAAACCCGATCTTTAACACTTTGTAACAGTTGAAATGTGGTGATATTCAACTAGTGAGACAAGAACTTCACGAATGTTATTGGTTGTTGACCGCTATTTGACTGCAATCTTTACAGTGATTGTTAGATTTTCCGCATGATATGTCCAAAAAACTTTAACTGTCCCTGTTGGATTATCTGTTGTAATTTCCACTTTTCATAACCAGACTGTTTTAATACATCCTCATTCGAAGTATGAAAGGTCTGAAACTGTCCTTCGATAACCATCGAATGACAGGTACAACTAATTAAAAAATTGCCAATGATGTTTATCTATAGAAAAAATCCATAACCTTGCACGTGCGTCGGAATTGTTTGAAAAGATTCAAGTTCCTTCAAATCACGAAACATAGCGTGCTTCAAAATATAGCGTAAACAATTGAAATAAACATCATCTCAAATATTCTAATTTTTAACAAAATTATTTTCTAAAAATAATACAAACATAATTTAAAATTTATTTTTATCACCTTGAAGCTGCAACGGTTGAGCTTATAGAGCCACAGGAAGAAGGCAGCAAAAAGTTTCCTCTACTTATACTGGCGTTAGATATATATATTTTCAAATGTTAAAAATAGTTGCCCAGCGTGCGTTTATAATCTTTTTTATTACGCACGCTGGGCAACCATTTTTAACGACATTTGTATTAAAAAGAGCCTCGTTCCTAAATATATTATATATTTTCATCTCAAAATTGTCTCTGTGGAATGTTTTTTTTATTAATATTTCATTTGTGAATCAAATCCTGTCAAATAAAGTGAATGTAACAAGATGGATGATGTGAAACATTGAGTGTAGCTGTTACATTTGGATTTTTAAATTATCGATTGTTTGTCTCTTTTCATGAATATAATAATGGTTAGGAAAAAATAACATTAAGTAAAATTATATGTATGTGTACAATAACGCAGGCGTCAGATATTATGCCCACATTGCCAAAATATAAGCGAAACTAAGATAAACAAATCAAAAGACTTTCTAAGAAACGATAAATGTTTCTTTCTAATTGAATAAAAATATATAGTCGTATAAACTACATATAACATTAATAGAACATGAAAACCGCACAGTGGTTTGCTCGCGGTAGATTTCAAATTTAAATTTTGGCAACGACAGATCCGGAGAGCCAGGCACGCAGCAAGTATCGGATAGATTCCATCTTGGTTGGGAAACTTATCTGGCAAGCAAGGAGGAGGTGGTCGTGGCCAAGGTAGATGGGCGTGGAAGTGGCGGAAGAGGTGTCACATACAGGAATCAGATACACAAAAAATTGACTGAAATGGATGTCGAGGATCATCAGCTTATTGCTTTGTATGTTTTTGCTCGTGTCTTTTTTTTAGATTTTTATTATTTTTGATGTTTTAGAGTTGAGTTTTAGGCTTTTCATTTTTGGAAAAGAAGTAAAAGAGATTATAAGTTTAGTGTTTGACAGGCTAACCACGTCGGGTTTTCAAAAAATGCTGGAAGAAATTTAAAATTTTGAATTTAACGTTTTTTTAGCTTTTTTATTTGAAAACTACAATAAGAAACAGCACCATTAACACTGGCAACGGCATGATATTATATTTATAGTATGTAAATCACACAGTTGGCGTTACAAACAGTAAAATGTATTAAAAATGTTTTTTAATGATTTGAAAAGGTTTTTGAAGCACCACGAACTGGTTGACCCTGCCAAGGTGGCCATAATGGGCTGGGTAAGTTGTATTGCAGGCCTAACCATTTATTTATCAATTTCGGTAATAGTTTTGTAAACAGGTTTTCAATTTAAAAGCTAGTTAAAAATGTAAATTAGACGAAAAGTATTTTTGAAATAATTTTTATTAACCAATTTAAATCACGTTGAATTCAGTTTTTCAATGAATCCCATAAATAGGGCCATTCAGGTCTTGTCGCCATGCACTCCCTAGCAAACGACAGCGATATTTTTCCGTGCGGAATTACTGGCGGTGCTCTTCTGGATCCTCATTACTACGGTTTACACTTTTTTTTATAAAACTTGCTGATTTTTTACTAAGAGTATTATTAGTTAATTTATTTTTTTAGTAAAATAAATACATCTTTTATATTTTCAAGATGCTCCGTTCTTTGAGAAGTACATGGGTTTATCCAATCAGAACTACAACCTCCAAGCAATCTTGGTTATGCATGAACTTTTGAATATACTTTGAATCTAAATAAAATTTTTGAATTTTTGAAATTTGATATGCTCTGGTTATATATACTAAATTTAAAATTAAACTTTAAGAACAGCATAAAAACTTTCATTGACTTGAACGTGTTTTGAATATCAGAAAACAGGGGTTGCCAGCAAACTAACAAATCTAAGAACGAAAAAGCTGGCCATCATCCAAGCGTTGGGAGACGATCACATCAGTTATGCCAGTACCTCAAATGCTCTCAAAGTTCTTGAAGATAACGACATTATATTTAGATATCAAGTTGGTGGAAATCATTTAATTTTATTTTCTTCAGCTTTACATACATTAAACAAAGTTTAATTTTTTCTCAAACTATTCAAGATATTTTTGAGCACTAATTAAAACGTGCAGTTTTTTTTATAAAATTACATTTATTTATTCATCATACATATTTTGTAAAAACATATTTAAATCAAAATAACTTGAACTTACTTTGAAAAATGTGACCAGATCTATAGAGACCTGAGCAGCAGCCGACTGACGCCGCACAGACACGTGTACCACCTGATGACCGATTTTTTGAAAAATGATTGCTTCGCTTACTTCTGGAAACACGATACAAAATCATGGATAGTGGACAAGTCCGTCAAGAAAGACAAGTTCCGTATTAAGCAGTTTTGTGTTTGACGTACCACTTCTCTGAAGCTCATCTCCGACAATTCCTTTCCACTGCCCTCTGTTTTCTTTCTATTTTTTAAACTCTGATTTAAATAACTTTTTTTACACTTATTTAACCACAGTTTAAATATCTTTTATGATATTATCTTTAGCCAAATATTCATTTTCTATTTGCTATATCTCTAAGCACATACTTTAGAAAACTTTTCTAAGCGTTCTCCACGAATTATCGCTTAAAAAATCTTTACGTTTTTTTACTTCCACCGCACATTATTTGTATGCCTGTCATCAGCATTCTTAGAAAGGATTGTTACCAGCAAAATACAATGGAAATGAGCTTCGGAGACTAAACTACAACAATGATTGATATTTGATGATCCTACTCGGGTCGATTTTTGGAAAGTGATCAAAAAATTTCAAAACTATGAAAACTAAAATCATCATTTATCCGCTATTAATCGTGTACATATGAATAATTTGTAAATACATTTTCTATTCGCAAACCCATTTGTTGAAATTTCAGTAACGTTTAGTCGTGATATTATAGAACTGGTTCATTTCAACAAATTAGTAATTCAATTAACTGCATCAGATTTTAATTATTTCAGTTTCTTAGCTTGAATTTGTAAGTTTTTTTAACTTTCCTTTGATATTATTCTTTTAATTTACTACAATTTCAATATGTAAATTATTAACCTCAAGAAATTTGAACGAGAAAAAATTTGAATGTGATTTGAGAAAACTAATTAAAGGTTTAATATATTAATTAATAGTTTTTCATATCTATCCATACTAATGTGTAGAACAATCAAAACTAATTGCTTATCTAACTTGCAACTTATTTATATAGGCCCTCGTATTTTATAAAATTGCACACACTGATTTCTCTAATATAGGATGCTTCTGTAAATTATGTTATTACAAAAGTAATGCGGCTAACATTAATAAATTTTAATCATTCAAATTTCAATTATGCTTCATTTTCACACGTTTTTATAGACTTAAACAATTAGCACACCTAGCGCGAGTATTTATTACTTCCATTCATTTTCTGTTTATCATGTATTATTTAGTTCAAGTTAATGTCGTAGCAATAAACATCACTGAATTGTTTGGTTGACTATTTATTAAAATAAATTTTCAAAAAAGTCTATATTTATAAACTTTCACCACAGAAAAAAATGTAAGAAAATAAATATCAATAACATGAAAAATTTTAAAATGTAGTACGTAAGTAAAGTATTAATATATACATGCATGTGATAAAAATTTTAAATAACCAAAAGCAGAATATTCTACAATAATTGATTGGAATGTTGAAATGAAAATGTAAGAGAATGTTAAAAATCAGATAAAAAAAAAATATATTTTATTAGTAACATTCTTCAAATTCTGCAATTGGTTGGTTTGCATTATTTTAATAAAATGTGAAAAATGTCGAAAATTCGATAATAATAAAATATTTTTATTGACAACATTTTTCAAAGACTGAATCAAATTTTCGATGCTTTCTTTCTTCTTTGGACAAGAGGCGTGTCTGACACGGAGGAGGAGGAAGAGAATGAGACGTCGGGAATACTTTCAGGGTAGGTGTCGTCTCCAAAGAGCTCTCCAGGGAATGCTGATGTTGTGTTTATGCGGTCCTTCATGGACATACTGTTGGTATCACTGAAATATTTTTCACATAAATCATGCTTATTTTCTTGTGCTTCAAAAAAACATGATGGAATGATAACATGATGGAAAAATGATAATTATGATGGAAAAAAAATCAAGAATTATTGTTCCTAAATAAATAAATGAATCAGGTTAAAATTTAAAAAAACTTTAAAAAATTGGTTAACCAACTTAATTTGTTCGACATATTGTCTCCTCCTCCTCTTTCTCATCAAATACCAGCCACCTCCAATCAGACAGATGATGATGGCCAGGCTGACAAGGATGATGAAGATGATGCCCAGAACTGACAGTGCTGGGTTATTAGATGAAGATGACGTATTGTTCAATTCGTTCGCATTCGTCTCTTTACTTGATTGTGCCGTCTGGTTTACATCTGCTGCAAGAAAACAATGGAAGTGTGTTTGAATCATTTCCATGAGATTAATATAGCGAAGCCATTATAATTTAAGTCAATTATTTATGAAAATAAATAAAATTGATTTTATGATTGTGAAATAAAATTTAAAAAAATTAACCATTGCATTATTTAAGTATTACAATATAATGAACAAATTAAATCAAGTACCTGGCTCTGGACAACTGGATCCAACAGTGTCACCGAGACAGTGGCAGCGGTATGATGCCACCCCATCTACACAGGTCCCCTGTGAACCGCATGGGTTCGATGCACAATCGTCTATGTTTATTTCACAGTCCCTACCTTTCAAACAGGAATTTATAATTTTTTGTTTTCGTATTTTTTAAATGTTTCTGAACTATAATTAGAATAAAAATACACTTTATTTTTTAAAAATTACTGTGTTTAAAAAAAATTCAATTTTAAAGAGTTGAAAAAATAATATGCACAATTTTCACTAGTTGAAAGTAACATAATTGAAAATGAAAAAAATTAAATATTAATTTTATTGAATATAGAAAAGCAGACCTGTGTATCCAACTATGCAGATGCACGTGTAGGTTCGACTGTTGAAGGAGCACTCCAGGGCGTGTTTACATGGCGAGGGGCTGCAGAGGTTTCGCTGCAAATACAACTTATCGTTTCATTCGCCCATCAACTTTATTCCAGGTTTAAATGTGTATTAGGTACGTCATGTTGAAAATGAATTATATACTATTTGAACATTTCATAAAAAAACATATAACATTAATTATTAATAGATCGGTTAGTTGGTTTAAAACGCAAATCGAGGTTGAATTAACCCATTAACGCCCAAATTAATTTTTTTTCTCAAAACAAACAAAACAACAAAATTTACAGATTATTATAGTTCAAATTTACTAAAAAAAATTTGTTCAGAATTTATTTGAAGATAGTTTGTTCAAAAAAAGGTGATCTATAAATAGATCACTGGGCAGATGAGTAACCTAAATTTAAAAAAAATTTTCTTTAATTTTTTCTATGATATTTTAAGAAGCAATCCGTACAAAGTGTGACGTTGCATTTAGTGCAATAGGTTAAAGGACGACTTTTGCAAGTAGGATATTGGCATCGTCTTTGGTTAGTTCGTTTATCCAGAAAATGACCTTTTTCGTCAAGTCTAACATTGTCTGGCACATGCGTCTTAGAAGTTGAAGGAAAACTAAGGGGTCTACCCTTCAAAATACTTTTTCCATGTCCGATTTTCAAATAATTAATGGCAATTTCCCGTCTAAAATCTTTTAACGTTATAGATTTTTTCCCATGGATTCTTCGGTACAACAGAAAAGCATTTATCACTGACATATCTATGATTCTAGTGAACAAACACCAATACCATTTTTTTCCTCGAATCGCAATGTTATGCTTCTCAACAAGCCAGTCATGATGATCTACTCCTCCCATGTGCTGATTGTAATTATAAATGAGTCTTGGTTGGGGAACTGGCAAACGAGCTTTTTCTTTTCCATTCCATCTTGTGACTGTTGCTAGTGATTCAATATGATCATAATTTGTAGCAATTGATACACATCTATTGTCTTTCCATTTGACGAGTAATATTTCATTTTCAGTGTCAAATCTATGGTCATATGATCCACGAGGCATTTTTTCCAATTCTTTGGTTGCTTGAACAGGACATTTTCCAGTTCGATTTTCTCTTATTGTACCTGTGGCTCGAAATTTCATTTCTTTTAATTTATGAAATAAGGCATGACTACTAAAAAAATTATCAAAATAAACACAATAACTTTCCGGATTTTCAACTATTGACAACATTTCTGAAACTACTCTAGTTCCCAATGGTTCTTTGTTTTCGTTATTCTCCTTATTCTCTTTTCCAGCATACAGAGAAAATGAAAAACAATATCCATCTTCGCCGCACATTGCCCAGAGTTTGTAACCAAATCGAATTGGCTTAGATTTTATAAATTGTTTCAATGAGTGGCGACCATAATATCTCACAATCATTTCATCAATAGATAAATTTTCTTGAAAAATTCCAAATCTATGAAAATTTGTGTTTACCTTTTCAAATAAGGGTCTTATCTTGAAATACTTATCATTTTTGTTATCTTTAGCCTTAGTGTTATCGACAAAGTGAATGCATGATTTTATTTCTAAAAAGCTATTCCTACTCAAAGCATTCCTTACAATTGCTTGTCCCAAGTCTTCTTCATCTGACCAGTAATCTCTTTCAGAGGGCAATGTATGGTAGCCACTGTATATAAGGAACCCAATAAAAATCTTTAAATCATCTATATGGATTGTCCATCCATGTTTGTTTTTTTGAGCTCCAGCATATCTGTTGGTTTCTTCTACCATCATTTCATATAAGTCGTTGTCAAAAAATTGTTCAAATAGATCCACCGGAGTAGACGTTTTTAAACAACTTTTCAAATGATCTTCCTTTTCTAAAAAGATTTTTCCTGGCACACTGTTATTATATTTAGGGTCAGTTTTAACCCATTTGCTAATAAGCTTTTGTGGCTTTTCTATTTTCAGTTTTTTTTTTGTTGAACACAATCTATCTTCATTATCTTCATCTTCGCTCTCGCCCTCACTATCCTTTATTGTTTGTACCTCAACATAACCAGCAAGATCCGTCACAGTAGGGACACCAGTTTCCTCATCGTTAAGTATTTCTTCATCAGTTAATTCATCAACATCTGGAGGAAGTGCTAAAATATCTGCCTCTATTTGTTCAGAATACAAATAATCTACAGCCTCTTCTAAATTTTTGAATATGTAGTTTTTGCTCATTTTTATTCCTGAAACAAGTTATTATAATATTATATTTTAACTTTAGTTATATTATCAGATTATTAGTTATATTATTAGTTATATTATCAGATTATCATTGTTATCTCTTTGAATTATTACTCCATCATATAAAATATTGTTTAATGAAAATTGCATGAAATGTTCACTCAAACGACCAGTGATCTATTTATAGATCACTGTTTAAATTAGGATAGCAAAAATGACATGAGCTTGACACAATAATGTGATACCAACAAATATTTTTATTGATAGTTTATAGATATAAATTTAAAATATGAGTAACTCACTTCCTTGTATTTTAATTTTATTCAAGAATTAATTTTAGGAATTATTTCATGAAAAATTGTCTATAATAAAATTATGTTGAGCAAAATATCCCAACTCAAAAAAAAAAAAAAATTATTCCTATAACAAACGCGCTTTACACTGCAGTCTTTTTTAAAAAATAAATTGGCGGCAGATTTATAACGTAAACAACTTTTAGGGATTTACACAGTGATCTATAAATAGATCACTGGGCGCTAATGGGCGCTTACACGAAAAAAACATTGAAACCCAAATTTTACGCATACTTATAAATTAATAACTACTACAAATTTCACAGTGAAGTAAACAAACAATTCAGAATCATTTAGCCGGCAAACATCACAACCAAACCAACCAAAAACGACTAACACTTTCTGAGCACATGACCCCAGTGTATTCAATGGGACATGCGCAAGTAGCTGTCCCGTTGACGACCTGACATGTTCCGCCATGTTGGCACGTGTCCGCACGACACACTCGCAGGTCTGACTGACAATATGATCCTGCGAAACCTGAAGTGCCAATAAGTTTTTTAAATTATTTTTTATTAGTGGATAGTGTTTATTGTTATGTTATGTTCAAACAAATTCATACTGGTTAGAGCAGCGTAGATGAATAAAAAATGTCCATTGATGCACATTTTGATCTATTTTAAAAAAGTCATAAAAGTTTTCAAAAACTGATGTAAACTATTACGTGATTGGTGAGTTAAAGTTGAAAAAAGTTTGCAAGCCAACTAACCATCGGCACATATGCACGTGAAAGTACCGACACCATTGACGCACAGACCATTATTGAAGCACGGATTGGAAGCACAATTGTCGACCTGAACCTCACACGTGACGCCCTGGTAGCCGTCGGGACAGTGGCACATGAATCCGTAGACGTTTGCTTCAGTCACCAGGCAAGTTCCTCCATTCTTGCACTCGTTACGGGAGCACTGCGGGTTGTCTTGCTGTTCACATCTGCTACCTGAGTAACCTGTCATGTTTAAAGTAATTAGTTATTGTATGTGCAATCGAAAGTCTATTTTAAATTTTAGTAAATTTAGAAATGGATGTTATATAATAGAGTACGAACAGTTTTGAACGGAAGAACATCTTTATTATCGATTTAAATAGTAGAAATAAAAAAACAAACCATGGGGACACTTGCAATTGTAAAGTGTCTTGTCCATCTGATCGTTCAACTCATCCACGCACCATCCTCCATTCTCACAATCATCCTTGTACCAGTGGCATCCGTCAACCATCTCACAATACTGACCGTAGTTCGGTCGACAGCACTTGCATGTGAACATTTCCTGGAAAAAAATTTTTTTGTTATGATGGCAGTCAAACGTCATGACAGGCTCAAAATCAAAATGTTTTTACGTTGTATGTAAGTTTCAAATAGGCTCAAACATTTTTACAGAGAATTTGCTCTTTTCTTGAAATTTTTTGAATTTATTATTGGATTTGAATGAACTTTGAACGAACAATTAAATTTTGCTAGCATTTAAGCAGCCATTCAAATCAGGATAGCAAGAAAAAAGTAACAAATTTATTCATCTAAATACTTAAACATTCATTTTAATTTTTTATAGTTTTGTTGAAAAATAAGCGTCAGAGCCAAAAAGAGAATGAAGAAATGCATAGCTAAAACTGCAAAAAGTAAAGTGAAGGAAAGAAAAGATCGTTCAACCTCCCAAGTTCTCGCCGCACAGAGTCCCATACCATTACAAAAGGTCAGTGAGGCTGGTTGAAATTTGCAGTCGTCAGCCAGAACTGTCACATTTAACCTTTGACCTCCTTGACAACTCAACCATGGGGAAGTGCTGCTGCTGGCTGTGTGGAGGAAGATTGATGGTGATGATGGGGGTGGTGGTGATGATGATGAAAGTGATGATGGTGATAATTATGGTGAGGATGAGTGGTCGATGATGTTGACTTTACTGGAATATTATTTCATTAACTTGAAAATACTGTTTTAGCAAACACATGCAATGCAAAGCAGCAAATATTTTTTTAATGCCTCGAAAAGAACGATTATTCAAATTAGCTGCTTTTAATTTTAGATGTTCCAAAAAACATTGTAAAAAAATTTTTTTAGAAGATTTACTGGAAAATTGAAAAAATTAATCAACTACAACCCTCCCAGTAAATATTGTGAGTTGATGATTTGACATTTTTTTTGACTAACACTTTCACACTAGCCTATGTTAATGCCAGGAATTTTGACGTTGAAAATTAATCTTAGATGACGCTGTACAAAATTTTACTCAATTAAACGCCACATAGAGAAACACACCAATAAAATAATTTCTTCCAAGAGACACGGGCACGTTGTTGATGTTCGGGACGATGTTTTGACGGTCGAAATTGCAGAACTTGAAACCATTTTCATCGGTTCTGTAATACGTCATACCGCTGCTGGGTGACCTTTTTAGTGCAGGTTATTCTTTTCAAATGTTCAATTTTAATAGATTAATGTTTTGACAGAGAATTTATATACTTAGGTTAAAAAATTTATTAAATACTAATAAATAGAAATGGAATACGTGAAAGAGATGAGGTTGTTGTTGAACTGGGTGAAGAATGGTATGACTTGAGGAAGCATGTCAAGTTGGACGTTGAATTCAGGTCCGTAACAACTTTTTGTGTCGTGGCATATCTGCGATGTTTCAGTTGTTGTTATTGTCATTTGTGTTGTTGTCATTTGTGTTGTTGTCATTTGTGTTGTTGTCATTTGTGTTGTTGTCATTTGTGTTGCTGTCATTTTTGGCGCTGATGATGCTGCTTTTAACGTGAATAGTATGATGTTTTGATGTAGTTAATGCTGACAAAGATGAAGCCGTGATGGAAGTTGTTAATGTAATGTAATTGATATTTTCCTATTTGTTGTTGTGGATGTTATTGACGTAGTTATTGTAGTTACTAATATTATTATCGATAACTATGTTTCATTCGATACATTATTTTGTATCTGTGGTAGTTATCAATCAGCAGTGTTTGTTTGACGTCATGTCAATTTAGTTTGTCGCAAGTCTTGACTATGCGTAATGCAGTTTTTTAAATGTGTGAGATTTCGTTGTAATGCCATGAAGCCCCTTGGTTGTGTTTGCTGATGTTGTTGTTGTCTTTTACTGTAAAGGACAGATTGGGTTTGTCTGGTTCATTAGCGGCAAAATTTTATTCTCTGTGTGTTGTTGTTGTATGTTATATTCATTCAGTGCACTAACAACTGGGACATCTTTCGTCAGTTGTCCCAACGATAATTAACATTATTGTGTCGAATTATTTAATAAAGTGCAAAAGGTAACTTTAAACTACATATGAAATAGAAAATGTTCATAAGAAATGCAAAAAAAAAAAAAAACAGACGGTTAATACGTCCCAGACGACGGCATCTTTCTGCGGCACGTTAACTTTCTTTATTTTCAACGAGAACGGCTGGCCGACTGAGCAGTTGAGTTGCTCGCTTGCAACCGCGGAAGAACAAGCAACAACCGTCAACACAAAAGTAACAAGAAATTTACAATACATATTCAGTTTACATTTGTTTGAAATCAAAAAGTTTGACGGCGTATAAAAGTGTTTGTTGTTGTTATTACTATTGTTGTTAGACAATAAACTCAACAAAAGCAGAAACAACATTAATATTAATTACATGCATGGATATATATATAATGGTTACATATGAAACTAAATCTAATTATAAAAATCATTGATCAGAGGTATTTTCTTCACAAACCTTACAAACATTCATTCAGTGAGGTTTATTAATTTTCATGCAATCATTTTAATAAACATATATCAGCTATGTGTATATATGTATACATATATATATTCATATATATATATGCTTATATATATATATATATATATACTCATGTTTAATTGTAAATAATCTAAATATTCTATGTATATATAATATAAAAAATGAGTAATAGATATAAACAAATTACGTGAACCTCGTCTACATATGTTTGTATGTGTGTGTGTGTGTGTGTACGTATGTATGTACGCATGTATGTATTCATACGTGTATATATATACACATATATATATATACATATACAAATATATGAGCAAACATATATACATCACGTGGCATCCCAGCTGACGTGACGTATGCGAGTAACACATGTTACCAGGATGATCTCATACGTTAACCACACATTAGCACTCTTTCTTTTTCACTTTCTCTCTCTCTCTCTCTCTCTCTCTTTCTTAATCTCTCTGTTTTTTCACACTTTTCTTCATCTCTTTCTCTCTCTCATTGATCATCTCACTTTTTGTCGTTTTTTTTCTATTTGCACCTTTTCTATCAGTCATTTTCAGTTTTTACTTTTAATTGAAATAAAATTATTCAATATAATTGCTGGTTATATTTATAATGAAACTATTTGTTGCTTATGAATGCCCCGTTGTTAAGAAATATGACAATAATAAAATGATGACGACGACAACGACGATGATGATGACGACCCTATCACATATATCAATTTATCATCATCCATCATTATATTATTTTCCAATCATCCATTATATCATCAATTTATTTTCTATTTGCAAATTCATTCATTTAGCCATCCATCCATCCACATTTATATCTCTTTCTTTTCTTGTTATCTTCTAATTTTTCTTTTATTTTTTTTTTCAAATTATTCCACCTAGATTTTTATTCAAAAGCCGGCTAACGTTCGAAATCTGTTCAGTCTATGAATTTTCAATTATAGAAATTTATCATACATAATAGGTACTGTACGAGGAACATTCCTATCTAACGCATTTTAATCGTCTACAACTTTAATGCACTGCCTTGAAACGCGGATGTGGCCGCTACTAATACTACAATGCCTGAAAAATGATTTGCCGCTGCAAAGTTTCATTTCATTTTTATCTGGTTTGTTGCAGACTTCATTTGTTTTAGGTGGACAATTCTGAGAATTTTTGTAATCTTCGTATATTATAATCATATTGCTAAGACAATGTAGTGCTCACGATGATGCTGATGTAAATAATAGTGATGAAATTGTGATGAGGAGCTGGAATGGTAATGAAGCATGAGTAAAAAGAGTTGAAGGAAATGATGAATGTAAATTTAATCAAAATTGTGATGATGAAGATGCAAAAGATGATCTTCTTCATCTTGTTTTGTATTTTTTGTAAACATCGTAATTTTTAATAAAAGTTTGTTTTGATGGATCTATTTTAAAATTACTTGCTGCACTTACACTAATAGCACGAAAAAATATTAAATTGAAGAACTTTTGAAAATTTTTCAAAGCTTGATTTGAAAGGTTCAAAATAAAAACCTACAAAAGAATTGCTATCACTATTTGGAAAAAGTGACTTCAAAAATTTAATATTTTCAATAATATTTTCTCACAAAGTTTTTGTTCAGTTCTCGTGAAGTGTATGCAAAATTGAAAGCAATTGATTAGGCTCATTATTTTTTTGTGCACTTAAACTTAATTTTTTAATTAAAAAAATTATCAGTAATAAAATGAAAGTTTAGAAGGAAGTTTTACGATTCTGTCTCAAATAAACCGCAATTTGCTTCTCGCGATTTGTGTATTTCACACAAACGCAAAGACACAAACGCAAAGTTTTATGCGACACAATGCCTTGCTTTCTATGCACGTACCACAATGTACACGTATGTGCAAATACTTTTCTGAAAAACTTACATAAGTACTGGATAGTTAAACCTTTATTGTATTTGTAAATGTGTCCGGATGTTTGTATGCGTAGTGATAAGAAATTGTTGAAATTTTGTTTTTTTAATTTTGAAAGAAAATTATTAACATTTATGACCCTTATTTCAATCTAACTTCAAAAAATACTAGACAGCCTCAACAGCAAAATGATATCCAGAAAAACAACGGGTGCAACTATCCATTTACGCGCCAATAACCAACTAAAAATCATTCAAGAGTTTGTTGAAGCAGCGAATCGTGTTTTCGTGAAGCCTTCAGTTAATTACGCTGGCGACGTGCTGTGCAATATTTTCAATAATTTTTTAAAACGCTAATAAAAGTAACAGTGCGAACATGATATATGATCGTATCATGATTGCACTATCTTTGATTATAAAGATTATGAATGTGATATATAGAGTTATTGGTTATGATATATGCTTATATTATTAAACTTCAATGTAATATTGAAAACTCTGGATTTTCTTTTGCACGCCTGCGATTATGTGGCTACACTATCAATACATTGTTGTATTCACTGACGTTCAACGAACAAATCTACGAACCAAAACTCAAACTATACAAAACCTGTTCACGTAGATTGCACTGAACTAAATTTATTTGCAAATAAATAGGAAAAAATAAAAACGAATAAACGTAGAATGAGATAAATAATACAGCGCGCATCCCCATAGCAATTGGAGCCAGCCATGAGAACTCTAAATTAAACCGAGCGCAAAATTTTTTTGTTTTTTGCAGTTTCAATTTCTATCATTTGTGCGCTCAATGTCCGACAAAGTTTCATTCCGTTGAAAAACTTTCCTGTTGAAAATATAATAATATATTGATAATTATTGTATATTATTCTCTCAATTATTATAAAGTTGTGATAGTTGTGAAGATGACAAATTCAAGATAGAGATGAGACTTATAAGAGCATTGCAAAAATTTACATCAAATTGTTAAGATTGTGGAAAGATACTTTAATGAAATTTCTATGTAAAAAAAGTAAATAAAAAACACCAACAATATCTTGCTCATTCAACAATCAATCAAACTTCCATGATAGTTAAAGACATTTCGGAGCCATAAAAACACAAACTACATCTTGATTAACAACAACAATAATAAAGAAATAAAAGAAGTTATTAAACAAAAATAACAACACAAATTTTATTAACAACAAAACCAACGACACCACGAATACAGACGTTACAAACAACGATAAAGCTACAACGACATACAACTGCCTCAAACTTCTAACTAAAATAAATTTTTTCCAATGGTGTTGGGTTGGCTTTATTACAATCTTTAAATTCTCTACTCTTATCAATAATTAATGCAGTTGGTTTTCTGGAAACTTTCCACGTTTTTGTTTATTTATAACTAAACTTAGATGTTTTTTTTGTTTTAATTTCCATGTACGTATATAGTTTAATAAAAAAAAAGATTTTGTTGGTAAAATTTTAGATAGAGTTGTTGTATATCAACAATATCATTTTATTAGAGGTAGTTGCGCGTGAAGTGTATAGATTATACTTTTGTGTTGTTTATAACATAAATAAACAATG